AAATGTTATTAATTAATTAATTGGATCCGGATCACCACCAAAATGTAATCAATTCTAAGTTACCCCATTTCTGACCTATCCTGAAAATGTTATTAATTAATTAATTGGATCCGGATCACCACCAAAATCTCATCAATTCCAAGTTAGCCCATTTCTGACCTATCCTGAAAATTTTATGACAATCCGTCCATATTTTTTTCAGTTAGGCTGTACACAAACAAACCTATAGATTGATAGATAGATATTCGCTGAGTGCGAGCGTGCAGGTGGGGGAGGACTGTGGTTGCCCCTTAGCCTGTGGTTGCGTGTTTGTAAGTCTACAGCCAGCGCACCTAGCGGAAGTGAACTGAAACGTGCATGTTAACAAACCCACAAACCAACACTCAAACACACGCCGGTAAAAACATAACCTCCGCCAAGCCCCTGGCGGAGGTAATAAGCGGGTAATCTACTATACGTATGCCCGCGAGAGGTGAACTTGTCTAAGAAAGACGAAATCCCCCCCTATCCAGGCAAGCAGCCGTCCCTCCATCAAGAATGTTTACCCCCACGCACACACCTACAGAGTTGTGTACTGCTGTCTCGTGCTGTACTGTAATTGTAATGATTCCCCCCTCATGTTGTACTGTAATTGTAATTTTTTCCCCGTTTTCTCCATTACAACAAGCTCCCCCGTTTACACATTCTCCCCCTATCTTAGCGACGTTTGCCACCACACGTTTGTACTGTTTGTACTTGTTTTACTGCACTTGTTTTACTGCACTTGTTTTACTGCACTTGTTTGTTCATCTTACTCTGCTCGTATCGTAATTGTAATTGTGTCCCCGTTTTCTCCCTCCGCACCCGCAGGTGCTTTTACCGTGCCAGATGGACGGAGGACAGGCGGCGGCGGTTCCGAACGCTCAGCTGCTTTCGTCTCCGCTGAAGCATCCCGCGTTACATCGCATCGCTAGGTCCCAGGCCGAGTCCCCCGGCCCACGCCGCTCAGGTAGGCACGCACAAATGATCGTTAGATGCGAAAGGTGCAGTCGAAACGAGATCTGTGGACAGTTACGCAGACGCGCGTTTTTAAGGGATGTAATATCGGGGCTCTTCCTAAAGCTTGGGCTAATTTGCGATGTCCTGCGAGTCCTTTGACCTGCCTTAATTGACAGTCCAACATTTTTGTTTCGTTTTTATGATCTCAGATTATCAACATAGTTGTTGTGTGCTTTCACAGCTTGATGTACTAGATGTTTGATACTTGATGTATTGATGGCTTGACCACAGCTAAATTTTTCCGCCGCTCGTTTTTTCGCAGACATGCCGACGTCGCCCGTGGCTCCCTCTGTGAGCGAGCGTTTCAGCTCGCCGGGGCCCGGCGGCGGCGGCGCGAAGAGGCGTCTCTTCTCGAGCGAATCGGGAACGACAACCGTCTCCCTGACGACGGCCCCCGACAAGGTTATCTCGCAGACGGTGGCTTTCGCAGTGCAAGGTACGTGTCATGACACGTGTACGTGATGCCAAGGTCAACGGAAGGTCACGGAGGTCGCGCCGCCTCTAGGGAACGGCGCGCTTTGCCATCAATCCAAATAATATAATTTACAAGATCACCGAATATGACAATAAAGTATATAGAAGTTATAACAATAATAATAAGATTTACGAATATAAATTACCGAGATAAAGTTCGACACTGAGATCTAAATCGTAAGACAGTGGGAGGAGGGTGGTTGTTTAGCAGAGGTGAGAGAAAGTGTGCTGAGAGGGGGGTGGGAGAGAGAGAGAGAGAGAGCGAGCGAGCGATTGAGAAAGAGAGAGAGAGAGAGAGAGGAAGAGAGCTAGTGAGAGCATGAGAGAGGAAAGGTATCCTTGTGTAATTCTCCCAAGATGTCTATCTAGGTTTTACCCATCGTTTATCGGATGTTCGGGGTTCTCACTTACCCAGATGCGCTGCTGTAGCTCAGAGATGCCAACCACTGCGATTTATCCGTATTTTATACGAATTTTGTTTGCATTTTGACCACTACGACCAGTTTGCATACAACTACGATTTTTATTACGATCGAAAAAAAATCATTTTGATGGTATTTCAAGTGTTTTGTTTCAGTGTTACATGGATATAACATGATTGAAAATAACTACATGTATTTAGCAGCAAATATCAGTGTGAACTTATTGTCATTTTGGGTCACAGAATGCAGAAAATTGCATCTCGGAAAAAGAAAATTTTCCGGGGGGGGGCATGCCCCGAACCCCCCTAGCATACTAGGGTCACTGCGTGACCCTCGGACTACAGATTTCAGATATCCTCACTACAGTTTGCTCAGAAAAGTGTTGTCATCTCTGCTGTAGCCGTAGCGACATTGCCTCTTCTCTTGTATAGCAGACGTATTGTGTTGCAGACGCGCACGCTGGCGCCGGCGACCCCTCTCACGGGTCGCTGTTACCTGAAGGGCAGGGACCCCGTCAACATCACTCCCGTCTCCACGGCGACACAGAGCGTGAGTCGTCTGCAGGGCCTGCTCACGGGATGCAAGACCGTTCCGAGTGAGATGCTGACCAGGATTCTAGAGTGAGTACGGTTTACTATTAGGCCAAAACAAAATATATGTGTGGTTACCGTTACATGCCGGGAAAAAATAGGGTAGGTAGGTAGGGGAAACTTTATTTTTCTTGAAATATTTTATTTACGAACCAGGTCCGAAGGATGTGCGTTGTGCCTTTTGAAGCAGGAACTGTCCAATTCATATTTATTTTTGAGTTTTTTTTTTTTTACTTTAAAGAAAATTTACAATTAAATGTTTAGGGTCGGTCGGGAAACCTTAACCACACCTATATTTTGTTTTGGCCTTACGTTGTAGCTACGCCGGTCGGTAATAGCCGGCTCTGGTGTTGGCCGACAGGCACGCAGATTTAAATAACATCCTTCCGACCGGCACAAAAATGAATAAGTTTGTGTAAAATTACCTTCAAAATAGTGAGCAATATCTACAAATAATTACAACTAATACAATTAGTTGCCCTGGACCCCACCAGGCCATGAACCGCTGCGCTCTGTTCGCTTCGCTCACTACACTCGCAATCATTTATTTATTACAACCCTAATAGTTTCTAATTATTTTTTTGATATATGTTGTTCTAACTATGATATCTCTAACTGATCTGGTATTTGTCGCATTGTTTGTTGTCTTTTGCTGCCGTGATTTTGTTCAATCTATGGCGCAGTGTTCATATTTCGAGTAGCAACCAAATACAGTTTCTGCCCATCTATATATTACCATAATGAAGTATAAACTGTCAGCATCTTGGGGCATAATATGCTTAATTTATAGGTAACAAATGTTATTGAAACTCGTGATCTGAACTTGAGTAGACTCGGTTACGAAGGGAGTGTCGCTAGATTCGCTCGATGAACGTGCGTGTTGTGTTGTATGTTATTGTAGGTCTTGCAGTGTCAACCCTCAGGAAACGATACAGAAGCGAGTGGCAGAGATGGGAGAAGTATTCTACACTAAATATGCACAGGTGTGCGACTCACGAGCGTGTCGAGTCTGTCTGTCTATATCAGTATCTGTCGTATGAACCCAGTCTTGGAAATAAGTGAAAACTCAGTCTGTCTATAAAATGTTGAACAATTTTAGTTAATAATTATATATATAACTGCTATATAACCTATAATAAAATCCATGAAAATCTCACTCAGTCTTGGAAATACATGAAAATCCAGCCAGTCCTGATTTCGATGTTCTACTATATACCCTTCAGCCCTTTAGTAAAATCCATGGAAATTTCCAACCCTGGGGCCCGTTGTCAGAAACAAAATTACTCTTAACATTAGTCTTAACATTAACTTTTTAGCTCATCTGACATAGTCAGATGCAGCTTGTAAAATCGCTTGATCGTCCGTCCGTCCGTCCGTCCGTCCGGTCGTCCGTCCGTCCGTCAACAGTTGGGCACAAATCTTAACCGTTTCATAACAATACGAAACAAAGTGATGTCGACGGTCTAGGAGAAATTGTTAATGTTAAGACTAATGTTAAGACTAATTTTGTTTCTGACAACGGGCCCCTGTCGAGAAACTACAGGACTCGGATAGAGGCAAACAGATCAGCTGCAGAAACTGTTGCCGACATGTTAAGCAAATGGACGTTTGTCGAGATGTAAAATTACTCTTATATTCTTATTTTAAATCCAATAAACTTATTCCGAGGTGGGGTGATGCAAAGCACTGCGATTTACACCACTTGGACATGTTAGCAAGACACGTGCCGTCATCGGTGTTGGAAATAGCTGCCAGTCCCCCAGCTCGGAGTGCTGACGTTGCTTGTCACTGGGTGGCAGCACGTGACGTGACCCCGCCATGTTTTTTTACGTCTGCAGCCTTCGGAGGACCACCCCGGATCTCACGTAGACTTCGCGAAGAGTAGGCTACAATTGGGGGAGAGTCTTTACTTTAAAACCTTAGAGAATATCATGCTGATGGAAAAGAGGCGGCTGCCTTCCAACGCCGACTTCACGGTACGTCTGCGAATGCCTGCTGTTACAATCTGTGGTTTCTCTCACCTTCTACAGGGCCTGCTGTTACAATCTGTGGTTTCTCCCCCCTTCTACAGGGCGTACTATTACAATCTGTGGTTTCTCTTCCCCCCTTCCTACAGGGCCTGCTGTTACAATCTGTGGTTTCTCTCACCTTCTACAGGGCGTACTATTACAATCTGTGGTTTCTCTCACCTACAGGGCGTACTGTTACAATCTGTGGTTTCTCTCACCTTCTACAGGGCGTACTATTACAATCTGTGGTTTCTCTTCCCCCCTTCAGCAGGCCCTGTACGCCCTGTAGAAGGGGGAGAGAAACCACAGATTGTAAAACTATTACAATCTGTGGTTTCTCTCACCTTCTACAGGGCGTACTATTACAATCTGTGGTTTCTCTTCCCCCCTTCCTACAGGGCCTGCTGTTACAATCTGTGGTTTCTCTCCCCCTTCTACAGGGCGTACTAATACAATCTGTGGTTTCTCTCACCTTCTACAGGGCCTGCTGTTACAATCTGTGGTTTCTCTCCCCCTTCTACAGGGCATACTATTACAATCCATGGTTTCTCTCACCTCCTACAGGGCCTGCTGGACCAGGACGTGTTCCACCGGTCGCTGTTTGCCGTCTGCCTCGAGATTGTTATCTTCTCGTACAACTCGCAGCGCACGTTCCCATGGATCGTCGAGGCCTTCGACCTGTCGCCCTACTACCTGTACAAGGTCATCGAGGTGCTCATCAAGTCCGAGGACGCGCTCTCGCGAGACGTCGTCAAGCACCTGAACTCCGTGAGTGCGATGTGGCGTTGTGTGTGGTGGCGTGTGGTGAGGGGTGGTGTGTGGTGAGGGGTGGTGGTGCACGGTGTGAGGGGTGGTGTGTGGCGTGAGGGGTGGTGTGTGGTGAGGGGTGGTGGCGTGGGGTGAGGGGTGGTGGCGTGGGG